ATGAAAAGTGCTACATAAGAGCTACATATTATTAACCAATCAATATTTTTCAAACTACACCATATACTAGGGTTGGTTAAAATTTTCCATTGAAACTATTTTTGATGGGAAATTGAGTTTTCTATTAAACTATTTTTTTGGCAAAAATATCTGCTTTCCACAATTATTTCAATTTTTCACCAAAAAGTGTCTGAGAACTGAAAAGTTTCCAGCTTTCATTAGAAAACCAAAAAATTCTAGTTTTAATGCTTCATGTCCCCATTCTCCTCTGGGCTGGGCTTCCCAGACGGACTTATTTCCCATGATGCACCATGGCCATAGTACTCCCATGATGTATTGCCAGGCCTCACAAAGAGGGGAAACCATGCTGCATCATGGGAAAGATACACTGATCAGGGATCTTTGCCTGTACAGAAGAATGGGAGTATGAATTGCCTAAACTACATCTTCAGTGAAGCACCACAGTGGTGTTTAGAAATTGAACTACTTTGGTTTTAGATTTTTGCCCCAAAAAGTCAAAATTTTCTATCATGGATATTCCCATTTGTTCAAAGACCAAACAGCAAAAATTTCAGCCCAGAAGGTGAATTCTTTTGGAAAGTTATGAACATATAAAACAAGAAGATTGCCATCAAAACAATTTTGCTCACTACCAAATGACTGTTACAGTGTAAAGACAAGGTACTACAGCCTTAACTCACTCTCCACAAACTGCAGGAGGCTCACTGGGGCTCTTACATGTCTTTCTCCAAGACCCTCTGTCTTAATGGCACTCTGTTGGCTCTTAAGTGACAGGAGTCCCTCTAGAGGTAAGGGTGTTTCCCAAGCTAAGGGGAGATGAGGGAGAGGAAATGTCCTTCTTTTCTCCCACGAGGCAGTAATGGGGAACAAGAGAAAAAGGGAAGCCCCTTTCCCAGCAGCCACCGTGAAGGGAGAAAAGATGAAGTTCTTACATAATATGCCATCATGTCACACATTACAGTTCTACATAATGATGATGAGTTGCAACAGTATAACTAGATAAAGTAAACACGGAGATGCTACATTAGGACATAATTTGTGAATGTGTGACTTTATTAGATGACAAATAGCTGTCCAGCTGTTGAAGTCAAATAGCACAGCTCTATCTGGTCTTCATTCCGTGCTGGACTTTTCCATAACATGAGTGAATAGAAATAAAGAATAGTGAGCATGATTCTGTTCTCACTTCCACTGTGGTGTGAAAGGAGAATCAAGTTTATAAATCACTTAAGATGAAATATGTTCCACCTACATAAAACCTGAGTGTTCCAGCTCTATGTAAGAGAAGTGCCACCAGTGCAGGGCTACTAGCTCTCTGCAGCTGCTATCCCTACTCGACTACTAGGGTGCAACAGCAGCCTCATCCCTCTCCACAAGTTGTCTTTGGTATTGAGGCAAACTGATCTATGTCAATGTTGAACCATTGCCCCGGGCCTGCCCCAGAACTATCCACTGTCACCCTCAGCCTTCTGTGCTGATCTTTGTAGGCCCAGTGTGGAGACTACTTTTGTGGCTTGCAGTAAGTAGGCAGACATGCTCAGCCAGTTGACCCTGGTGCATCTCCCCTCTGATCCTTAAGTAATAAAGAGGGCAGTGTGCTGCCCTCCACACAATGGATGAATTTCAGCCATCCTGCATACTTTGTTCTACCATTTTTAAACACTCTTGTTTTCTGTTTTTCAACATGGTCTCATAGTTTTAAACAACATTCAGTTAGAACAAATACCCACTAATCTCTGCTATTGATAAGTGTGTGTAACTCACAGTAGTCTCCACGGAGCTACCCAAGCTCACCGATGGCAGAACAGACGTTGAATTCAAATTCTTTATCAGCATGAAAAATTCTTACTATACAAGTAATCCTAGTTATCAGGATAGAACCTTAATTGTTTCTAGAAGCAACACATCCTGAAAGCAATCGCTGTATTTGGAAAATAGACCTGTACATCAGGAACAAATCAAGGAAATTCTGAGATGTCCTATTTGATCAGATGTGTCGGTTCCATTATCAAAAGTTTACACATACTTCCCTGTTTGAATTTATACAGACAGCAGTGACAGGTCCCATTTGTTTATTTAACCAACACTAACTGCTCTGAGTGATCCTCTACTCTCCAAACACATTGCATTACAAGTAACAGCGCTAGGCTATTCAGGACTTACAAGGCTCCCTTGGAGCCTATCAGTTAAGTAAAATAAAAAATGCAAACCAGGAAGTTTATTATTTTTTCACTGACATATTTTACATCACCTTTGGAGAGTGAACAAAGACACACTGTCAAAGGGAGAAACCTGCACAAAATGTTACTGTGTGTTCTTCATGAATGCAGAGGTATATTTAAGCAAAGAAAGACATTCCACTGCTCTCCTGAGACTTCCTTCATTCAGCTGATTTATTTATAGTGCCACATTCATACCACTATAATTCAGGTTGTGTCAGCATTTCACATGCCGACTCCTAATTGCAGGAGCTTATTACTTGATCATAAAAATTAATGCTAACTTGAAATTTAGCATTATTTGGTCTCTGGTCCAGAGCAATTTTATTTGACTATAATTTTTTTTAATTAAATGTTTCATCATTTTAAAATGGAAAAAGTGGAAAATTCCCAGTTATAGATATCCTTACTTTACATAACTCAAATATTATTCTGATAAAAAATAATATTTGGAAAGTTTTGCCAATAATATAGTTTTGCTGTATTTTTTTCCCTCCAAGAGGCTCTGTTGGACTGCTGAGAATCACACATTTCTTCCAGACTTTCATCTACAAGTATGTGCCCACTTCACGGGGGACTACATTGCAGCAACCAAACTTCTGTCTAAACAGTATTCCTTTCAGAGGCCCTTAAAAACCTCTTCATAATGGACCATCCACAAATGGGCTATAGGTCATTCACCCTACCTAACAATTATTAGCAGAGAAGACAAGCGGTCATTGCTGCACGGTGGAAAAGCTGGGTACATCAGTGAGGAAAGAGTGCTCAAGCTGGGGGAAGAGGAAGTGGGGCCTTTTGGTGAGGGATCAGAAGGCAACAGGCTCGCTGTTCAGGAAGACGAGCAGTAGGAGAGAAGAGGCGGTTTATGAGAAGTGGGTGGGAGAAGGTGGCTGGGGTGGCCCAGCATTGAGGCACAAAGAAGGACAGATGGTTGCGGAGAGGCACAGGCTAGTTGATTCCTTTTGGTCAGAGACCGGAATGTAACTTGACAAGGTGGTTTAGTCGTAAAATTAAATGGACAAAATAACCAGGTCACTGGATGATTATGCATCACCTCACTAGCTGTCTGAATGCCCTTATTAGGTGAGGAAGAGTCAATCAGCCAGAGGTGTGTCTGCTGAGTGATGCAAATCCCACACAGCTCTGAGGTTGCTACCTGCCTAGAATTAACAACACCTGGTGGCCTGGGGGAGCAAGAGTCCAGGAATGGGATCCAGGTGTCCCATAGCAGTGGGAAACACTAGCATAGGACTCTGACCTAGACCTGCATTTCTGAACAAATATCACAAGACACCCAAGATGTTAATTTTTATATAAGTCTATATTTTTTACCAAAATATATATTATACAATAAAAACTATATACACACTTTATAACTTTATGTGAATTTTTCTTGCACAAAAAGTAAACTGAAAAGCCCCCCTGTAAAATTAAATGAGTTAGGAAGCCCAGTCACAGCTTTTCAATAAGAGAATTGACCCCAACAGCTTTCCCCTCATGAAAAATTTAATACAGAACACTACTGTATTTTTAAATGTAGATTTGCTTTGACATATGGCCCAGTGCTTCAATAAACTTTTTTTTTTTAAATGTGAACTCTAATTCCAGGATTTTTCTATGGCAAAGTTTGAAAAACCAACTATGCTGAACTGAGGCATACAGTACACAAGAACATAGTAATTGTGGTAAGCCAGTGGTCCACAGTGTATGTGAGCTGATGGACTATGTCTGTGTAAGCTGTCATTTAATGCTAGCTTCTTGCTTAGAGAAGTCATAGCATGCAACAGGAAGCTGATCATCAAAGCTCGAAAAAGTGATTGATCTCAGAAATGGAAGAATTGATTTTGCTTTTTTAGACATTTTCTTCATTTTGATCATAGTAAGGAAGAATACAGGAATGTTGTCAACAAATCAAAGTTTTTATTCAGGAGGTGTTGTCATATCACCATAGCAAAACATCCCCCCCCCCCCCGCCAAAGATATGTTAACACCCCATAATCAAAATAAATGTTATGTTGGAAGTTCACAGATCAAAGCACTTTGAAAACTATAAGCTACATCAAATATCCTTATAATGGAGTAAAGGGCAGTTAAAGAAATATTTTATGAGTAGGGTAAAGAAGCCTGCTGGTAAACGTGCCAACACCACAGATTAACTAGGTGCATACATTAACATCAGGGAAAGAAAAATTAAATCTTACATTGAATGTGTCAACAACATTTTAGATTATCTATTGTCTCTGCACCACATGCAACAAGCAAGCAAACCAAGCAACACTAGCGAATCAATGGGAAAGATGATTTTTAAACACTAAGGATTTATGTGCTATAATTGAGAAATTCTCTTTACTTAGATAGTTGGTTGTAATTCTACTAACTTTCAAATACTAAAAGCAGGAAGAAATCAAAAATACAGTGATCTGGGGTTTTGCTTTAGATCTTCTCTTATGATTTGTATACAACAACCTGAGAGCTAAATTAATTTAAAACCTAGCCCCTTCTAAAATGTAGTGCATATAACTCTAGATTAATATTTCAGAGAGCCTCAGAAAAGGCACAGTAAGGCAGGACCTAGATTCTTGCTTCTGCATAACATAATTGGGTTTGCACTTATATACAGAAATAGAACATATAGCTAAGAAATACTAGCAATAAGTGGCAGGTTCTCTCTGAACATTAGCTAGATCATCAAGAAGGTCAGTCAGGAGTGCAGTAAGAAAACATAAAACACATGTTTAACAAAAAAAATATATGACTTACCGGATGGACCAGCTTGGCTGTTTCTCAAGTGCAGAGGAAGTAAGTGCTTCTGCCCTTGTACATGCAGATCTTGTTTATTTAGCCTTTTTTGAAGGTTTGCACTCCAAAGGTTTAAGTTTAAGTCAAATACAGGAATCTGTAGGGGAGAAAGAGGGAAGGGGATAAGAGTAAATGAATCTCAGCTGCTGGCTGGTACTACTGTTCTAGGAGCATTTGAGCTATTTTCAGCAGCGGACGGGTTTGCCTACAATCAGGGTGAAAATGCAAAACATTCACACACATAAAAATCAGGAAACCCACAACAACAACTTTGTGCATTGTCCAAATTTTCATTTAAAGAAACAGAAGGAACAAGTAATGTTGATGCAGAAAAATAATGTAACACACAACTGAGGCCTTTAAAACTATATTACCTCTGGGCTCAGGAAATGAACCACTGTATTTTCTTTTAGCATGGAAAAGTAGTTTCAAGTTTAATCACCACTGAAGATGCTGTGCCATCTCCACAAAAAGGGGTTTTCTCTAAGCTGGAAGGGCTCTCTCATTTGTTCATTTTGCATTCAAGTTTTTTTGATCTAGGTGATGTCAGTGTCTGATGGCAATCCAGTCTCCCAGCAGTTTATTTTCAGTTTGCATCTAAATTTTCAGTTTCAAGTGTGCTATTTTTTGACTGTCTGAATATTTCGGACTGCGGCCTGAGACTGTAGCTCGTCTTCTCAGTAAGGACCAGTGACCATTCAGTGACATGATGGAGTTACCCACATACCTGCCCCCACCTACGGAAAAAAACGACAAGGAAAACAAAGCATTTACTCAGGTTGGGCTACTGATCACAGAAAAGCTTAGCTTCACGCACATGCTCTTAGGGTGCATGAAAGCCAGTTTCTTTGGGGCTTACAGATAACAATAGTGAACTGAAATCACTTATTCCGTCATGTGAAGCAGCTTTTCAGGATGTCCTCTATAAATCTTTTCCTACCAATTGTGACAGGCACAGATTACTGTGAGTCATCAAGACAACTTCTCACATCCCCCACATCACTATGGACTGCCCTTCACAAGGCTGTTATTTCCGTCAGAACGAAAAAAATAGTGATCTGAAGTTACTTTCTAACCTGGATCCAAAACAAGTCCATGCTGGGTATATTATAATATGCTTTATTACATCTTTAAAACTAGCTCAGATTTTTACTTAACTAGTTTGCTCATTTGGATAGGTTTTATGAGCTCAATCATTGGACAGCTTCAGCTTCTGATTTCTTGATGTATGGTATGAGAGTGGCTGGCATTTGAGGAATGTTTTCCCCGATGCCTGAATCAGGATATCAGACAAAAATACAGCAATCCAATAAAGCACCAATGTGGTTAAGCAATTTTATACTGGCAATTTAAACAAAAACGTGAATGAGCAAATGTCCAATTAAAAAAAACATGCTCACAGACCATAATGCAGGAGCAATCACAGTGATGAAGTTGTTGAAGTCTGAAAATGAAAAAGAACCTATTCTTCTATGTAAGGGGAAGGATTCTCACAAAACTGATCCTTATCATTGTAGTGCCCCGTTAAGAACAATTGTTAACAACATAGCAGTCAAATATTTAGTGGTTAAGTTAAGCATTATTATTGCTTCATTCCAAGTTGTCAGTTCCTATTGACACACACACAATTAGAATGAAGGAAATGTTACAAAAAGGAGATGCCCAGTCACCTTCTCAACTGTTTGAATGTCAGCCAAATCAATCTAAGACCACTATCTTACCACAAACATTCATCCATAGAAGTACAGAAGAGTTCAGCTCTATTATACTATACACCGGTATCACTGTACAGACTAAGATTTAAGAACTCCCAGTTCTTGCTTTTTACATTTCTTTTTTAAACTGCGTTAACTCTCTGAATGCTGGATCAGATACAAACTTGTGACCCATTAAGTGCATGTCTGTTGGAACAGAATCTAGATTGTATATAAGACAAGTGCACTGGGCCACTAATGTATCACTTTTCTAGTCATCACATACTCAATAATACATTCCTATGGTAGTTAAGAGGTCAAACCACCAAGTATGGATACATACAAATGAAATCCTGATCTCACATGTATTCCCAAAAATTAGACACATACAACATTGAAGCTATGTCTTAATGTCCAATTATTACTGAAGTAAGATTCTCTAATGTCTGTTACTATGCAGTGCTATATATCTTTTGTGAAATAATTTTTCTCAGAAGATAGCCATTCACTACATTGAGCTCCCCGATTTGCCATCAGCACATATTCCATCTTGGCACCTTAAATTGTTTATTATATGTTCTTTGCAATTTATTTTGTGTAAATCATAACATACCTGTTATCTTTTATAGCATTTATTATCCCTGCTCAGTAGTACTGCTTTGGTATATGTTAATCATTCATTTCAGCTACTGGATATAAATCTTATCAGATCATGGTTAGTTAGAAATGTGTTATACTCTGTAAATATTACTAAAAATGTACATACC